GTTTTCTTGTTGGGGAGTAGCCATACGGCCCGTACTCTGTCCTTTCTTAGGGGGAATTTTGTTTTAGGTAGGTTGTCAACCTACCGCTGCTACCACTGTTGCAACTGAACCAATGAGGATTCAGTATTTGGAATTGGGGAAGACAACAGTCCAATATAAAGGACAGAATAATAAGAATAATGTATTGTTTATTGTAGGATATTGTTATTAATATACCATATGGGGAAAGCCACAAGGCCACAAGGGGGTGCCATAGTGGGAAGTTCCATGTAAGGTTCAAAGCCAAGGAATAACTTGTGTGGGGATCAGCAAGTCAAATTGATAACACTCCTAATTAGGATGAAGTGCCTGCCGTTTGATATTGCCATCAGATTAATCCATGCCGTTAGATACGTCAAGGGGCAACTCATCAAGCGCCCCCTGTGTATTGTAAGATATGTTAGCAGGCAAGTCTGGAAACTCAGTTGCAACAAACTGGGCCGTGAGATCAATGGATCAATGATCAAATCACATCCTAGCTTTAAAAAAATCCTGTTCCAAATTAATAAATGGAACATGCAGATATTGTTCAATTAATTAGTTCACCTCAACAGGTACCTGAAAATGTATCTCATAATAATAAATATTCTAAACTATAATTTTTATTCTAGAACAGGAGGGCCATCATATGAACTATCACCTGAATTACATCTAGAAGAGTCCACCATATATTGGGCTGCCAGGCCAAACTCTGAAATAAAGGCCCCTGAGCTTATTATATATATTAGATCAGCTCTTATTAAGTGAAACAAGCATCTCCAAAAACTAGTAACTATCTGCTGGCTAGCTAGCCTTTGGTAGTGGCCCAGGTAGACAACTGACTCTTCTTGATTAAGGGACTCAGTTGTACAGAGTGTCAAGAAAAACACTGATGGTTTGAAAGCTGCTTTTGCAACTGAACCAATGAGGATTCAGTATTTGGAATTGGGGAAGACAACAGGCCAATAGAAAGGACATAGTAATAAGAATAAGGTATTGTTTATTGTAGGATATTGTGATTAATATACTATATGGGGAAAGCCACAAAGCCACAAGGGGGTGGCATAGTGGGAAGTTCCATGTAAGGTTTGAAGCCAAGGAATAACTTGTGCGGGAGTCAGCAAGTCAAATTGGCAGCGCTCCTAATTAGGATGAAGTACCTGCCATTTGATATTGCCATCAGATTAACCCATAATGTTAGATACGTCAAGGGGCGGCTCATCAAGTGCCCCCTGTGTATTGTAAGATAAATTAGCAGGCAAGTCTGGAAACTTGGTTGCAACACTGCCAAACAAGCTTTTTTCAAAGACACTCCCTCAAAGTTAGGCTCTTTGCTGTGTTGCCCTAATGCTACTTCAGTCTCTATCTAACATTTTAAGCTAACCTCAGAAATAATGTGGGCAGCTGGGCCAGCCTTGATGTCAGTCTATGAATAAAGATTGATTTTTTGTATCATGTTCCTTTTAGAATTTACAATGAAGTGTAGTCTATAATATCTCTAAATTATTTTCTCCCAAATGAACTATAGTAGAGGTGCAAAAGACTGTACTGTTGTTGTTGTAACTGTGCTGTTTTAGCAGAGTTACAAAGGGAAAAATATTTAGAAAACTAGATAATATTCTTTATTGGGAGATAGGTATTATATAGTCATTGTGAATTGTGGATAACAGGAACATGATAGTGTTGATCACATGGTAGATGGTGAAGAGGGTGGCTTGATCCTGGTAATGAGTCAAGCTCCAAATTGAGGTATCCACCTTAGGGGATTATCCTTTGTTCATGTTGTTGGATTTGAAAATTTGAGTTGAATTCCTAGTCTGGCTTAGAGTTACTGGGTAATTGGATTGTGGGTCACAAACCCGTTTACTCGGAACCTTGTTGGAGGGTCAAGCCTGCTGTTTCAACATTGTCATACATTATAAATTCATATATTAATATATAGAGTCATAGCTATGAGACTTAATCCAAAAGTAGAAAAAAATATCCCATTGCCTCTGGGCTGCAGGCTCTGTCAGACTTGTTACTTAAGATGACTACAACAAATTCTTCATGGCTGCAGGTTACACAAAAGTCACAGGTTCTCCTCTAATTTCCTAATGTTAGAATACTTAGGATATTATCTTGGTGGATGATAAAATACCTTGGCCAGCAGATTTCTGACACCACTGTACCAAGTTAAATTTAATGTTGTGTTTTTATATATTTTAGGTTGGCTGAAAAACTATTTAATCATATTAGGATTTATAAAAGTAAGTTATATGCTATTTATTATTTTATCTCATTTGGTAGCCATTTTTAAGCTTCTAAAATAAATATATTTTTGTTTAGCTTGAAATATTACTTTGATTTAAAGAGTAGAAGCTTACTGTTAGTTACATTCTTATTGAGAGCTTAATTTGAGCTGTTTAGACTGGTTATATTGAGAAAGAACAACTTAACTCAGTGACTTGAGTTTAAACTAGCTAAGAAAATGATGTTTGTGTTAAGACTATTTTATTGAGCTATTTACTATTTTATGTTGCTTTTTTATTTAAACACATAGTTTTTAAAGCTATGGAGATAAAAAAGACTTAGCCATGAAAAAATAGAGTCAGACAAGAATAAAAGTACCTCAGCCCAAAACAGCTTTGGATGGGGAGAATTTATATTGAATAGCATTAGATTTGAGATGACTTTCCCTTTGTTCTGGGCTGAGTTGATTCCACTTGAAGCTGACTTCATTTTGTTTATTTTTATAGCCTTGAAAGCTATTGTACTTTGACTTTATGAAAAATAAATATTTACGATATTTCAGGCAATTGGTTTTTGCTTGACTTAAATTTAGAGTACACCCAAAAAAGGACTTAACAGGTACTTAATAAGTCTGAGTTCAGTACACATATTTGTTTTTAGTTGTATATTAAGGATATAATGATTCAAACTACAGTGAGACAAAATGATTCCTTTATAAAAAAGCATTGTTATTCAGAAAGCGAAATTCAAGAATCAGAAAGGGTGAAAATCGTAGTCTAAAAAACTCCTTAAAGAGTTTGGGTTTTTAAAAGGAGGGACAAAGCGAGTATAGGCATGTTGGTCAAAGAATTCAATGCACTATTCATGACTATTTGATCATGTATATAGAAGACTATACATAAGGAGGAAAGGTAGGTTGACATGCAGCTTTAAAAGAGCAATTGGTTTACTTTGAAGCCTCTTAATTCTTCGGGCAGAAATGGCCAATACACTTCTTGATGTCCATAAAAATATATAGCCTAGCATGAAATAGTTCAATGGCGCTACACACCATTAGCTAGGTAATGTAATAGAGGTGCCAGGGATCCAATCATCTGGAATAAGTTCGCTTAGCCGAGCAGAGCGCACTAACGACTCATATGTCTCTTGATAAATAGATAGATGACCTTGGTCAAGGAGATGTGCAGCTAACTCCGTGATCCTATCGATATCTTTTTTGCGTTGGGCTTCGGCGTTCATTTCTTCTGCGGTCTCTGGGGGAGCCTGTTCTGCTTTCTTGGCGCGGTTCTTATTTACACGAACGCGTTTCTTAGTTTGGCCTCCAAGGCGAGACAATGAAGCAAGAACAGTTTCGTGGGGCCTCATGAGGTTGATGAGAAGAAGCTTGACTTCATCAGGTGTAAGCAAGTCCAGCCCTTTCTCTTTAGAGACTCCTGACAAATTCTTTTCGTATTCTGATAATGAAATGCGTTCCAGTTGTTTATCTCTGGCTGCTTTAGCCTTTGATATCTCTTCTTTGGATATACCAGTGAGCCATGAGTCGTGATGGCTATTTTTATCTTTAGCCTTCCACACAAAATTCCCAGTTTCATCAAAAGCTCCTTCTTTTGTTAAATCCTTTAGGTTAAATGCTTCAATCTTAGTATCTTCAAGGTCAGAGTCAGGATCTTCCTGTCCTTCAAACTCACTGATTTTGACTAATTTTGGTTTGCTCTTGGTACTTTTGGTGTCGCATACAGCTGTATCTCCAAACATATCATCGTCGTCATTAAGAGCTTTCTTTCGCCAGCTTATCGAAGTCTCTTCGTCAGACTTGGATTCATCAGAGCCATATCCATCAAGATTGACACCACCTCGGCGGGATTTACTTGTTTCTAGGAAATCAGCATCTTCATCTTCGCTGTCACTATCTTTGGTCTTTTCTTGAACATGCCGATTTTGTACTTTAACAGGCTGAAACTCATGAACCTCATCAACTTCGGCGAATCTAACCCTTTTGGTGGAACTGGAATCTTTCATCAAGAATAAATTGAGAGGTTGGTGATAAATTCTATTGAAACTTTTAAGTAGGAAGCAGGTGTGGGAGATAAAATTAAAAGGAAAACAGTGATTTATAAAATGTGATTGTGTGACGTCGTGGAATTGAGATAAAAGGGCTTGAATCGATGTGCTTTTGGGATTTTAGCTGAAACACTAAATAATAAACGCCATATAAAATCTATAACGATGATAAGAACTGATAAATGAACCGAGAAAGAGCCTGGGAAAGATAAGCAATATAAGGTCAGAGTATTCATCAAACGGGGTTAGTAATTTAATTTTAGGTATAAAAGTATTGATTAGAATGTAAATGAAGGCCAAAGATAAAGTAGATAGTGGAATTAAATTTACCTTTTTAATAGATTGGAATTATAAAATTTGAAGTTAATGTGAAGAAGAGTTATAAATTGGGTCCAGAGATAATATGACCAGTAGTGATTGTTTAAGGGTTAAATTTCCCATATATTGAGTTGCCTATAGGGCTGCGTCGGCCAAGCCCTGGGCAGCCACGGCCAGTTTCTGGCTCTGGGCCACCATTGTCAAATATTTATTTAATATTTGTTAAATATTTAGTCATTTCGTTTTGGCTTTAGCGGCTTAAAGCCGAGCTAGCCGGGGCTGAGCTAAAGCATCCCTAGTTGCCTACTAATTGCTTGGTTCAACTTGATCTTTCAAAAAATCAGTTTAGGTTAACTTTTTTGACATCATAAGCATTGTTGGTTTAGTGGTATAATGGCCGCCTGCCACGCGGCCGACCCGGGTTCGATTCCCGGACGATGCAAGTAGTTGAATAATAAAGAGAATAAATTGATTCAATGTATAATTTTTTTTGCAATTAATAATCAAAAAAATGTTTTGTAACTTTTTTAAAGTGGCTGAATTATAAATAACAGTTTTTTAGATGATGACAAGTATGGGTATTTGGTTGATGCAATGTTGTGTTTAAAAGGTCACATGAAATGCCTTTCTGGATGTTTGGGTTGAATCATAAAGTAGCTCATGCAGATTTGTTATGTAATTATTATTAGAGTTTATGCTATAGTTTTTTTTAATTGTATATAAAATAAGGTGTCCCAAAATTTTAACTGGCCACCTGAATTTTAGAGGAAAAAGTGAAAAATAAATAATGAATTTTCTATAAAAAAAATCATGAACAGATGCACTTCAGGTTTTACTTAAGCACAATATATAAAATGTAAAAAATAAATAAAAGTGAAGAAATAATAAAAAGGTTTCAAATATAAGAATATTTATTACAAAATAATAGCCTTCAAACCTGGATATACTGTGAACTCAGTACTTTGTAGGCCAACCTTTGGCTTCAATCATAACAGTAAGTCTTATGGGCATAAAATGGACTAGGTGCTTTATATTTTACTGAAAAAATTTCCCATGATTTTGCTATTTCAAATTTAAGACACATATTGGATTATTTGGAGGCATTAGGAAAATTAGATTTGAAAAAATCCAAAGATGTTCAATGAGATATAAATCTGGGCTTTGGGAGGCTAATACAAAAACCTGGTAATCATCCAATTATTTTTAAGGCTTTCTTTAATTTATAGATGATGGTGTTATCTTGCAAAGAAGATATAATTGGCCAGTTATTTAAGATCCTTCATAAATGAATAAAGATTTCAGCCAATAATGATTCTGTAAATATCAGCATCCACCTTCACACTGATTAACTGTATTACACATTTGTACTAACTGTGAAACAGCTCTAAAACATATCACTCAGGCATACATTTCTAAAAGTGGGCTTTAAGCAGTCAATCTTATTGTCAGGACTATTCCTGACATAAACCAGATTCTTACTGGAGTACAATGTTGGGAAATAATAGAAGGATTTCCTGTTAAAAATGCCCAATCCAATGAGGATTTCCCCCCTTTAATTGGGGAAAATAAAAATCAAACAGAGGAAAAAACGGAACTTAATAATTGCCAGAATAATTTATCATCCAGGCAGGCGCCCCCAGCATCCAGCCAGCCGCCAGCGAGCCCCCGACAGCCACCCGCTTGCCCAGCCAGCTGCCAGCAGGCTTGCCGCCAGCCTCGCCCACTTGCTTGCCCACTGGTCCCAGCCGGCTGCCAGCCACCCACCTGGGTCCCACTCCACAGCCAATCAGAAAACCCCATTAATTGAAGCCAATCAGAAAAGTACCTGGCTGCAAGGCCAAAAGTTAAAAATACAACTAAAACTCCAGAAGAAGGAGGGAATAATGAGCCACAATTTAAAAATACAACTACACCTCCAGAAGAATGAGGAAATAATGAGTCACAATTTAAAAATAAGTTTACTACCAACCAATGGGGTGCTAGATCCCAGACCACATGGGCAGAGTCAAACTCAAGCCAAACCAATGCTCCTAGGACAAAAATAGATCATGAGAGCAATTTGACTCCCATCTCTCACCTAGCACCAGACCAACCTACAACTATTGGTTCAACTCAGGAACTTCCAAACCAGCCACAGATAGCAGAAGAACAGGAGTTTGGCCATCTTCCCAAGCCCCAACTACCATTTCTACATTCCAAGCTTTTGGGATCCCCCATTCCCTGCTTTTCACTTCCAATTGCAAATCTTTGCACAAGGGAGAGCACTATAAATAAGGGATCCCTCCTCAGTAATAGCTTGTGCTATTATTGAGTTTGATACCCTCAATAAAGCTAATCTTACTTACAACTTTAAGTCTACTTTAACTAGTTTGCCCCAGCTAATCACCTCCAATCCAAGGAAGATGAATCACCCCATCTTCACAGCTGTACTCACTGCTTGCCTTGGGATTGGAGGATACCAACAGGGACCAAAATTCTTTTGACCTTCACCCAAAGGGTTAGGAAAAAACTACCACTATGATCTGGGACAGCTCAACTCTTCCCACACTGGTCCCTGGACTCCCCTGGTATCTTCACACTCCACCCTGTCCATTGCGGTGTATACCTCCATGTACTACGTGCTGACCTACTTTGCGGGGAGCTTCAGGAGATACAACATCCACACCAAGGTCTTCCGGTGGTTAATGACTGTCTACCCAATTGTCACTGTCTTGACTGGCTTCCAGTTTGCCAACCTCCTGCCATACCTTACCCAAGTAGTACCTACAATGTCTGGGTATTACAATTATAAGCTTCACCAGCTTTTCAATGACATTTTGGCATCTCTGAGATACACAGAGCTGAAATTTAGTCTCACTAGACTTAATCACCTTCCAAAAGGATATGAGATAGTTAACATACTTATGGGCAAAGGCCAGCCTTTTGTTTTTATGAGTGATTTTTTTCTGTTGTAACAATCATAGCACAGTAGGTTTATAACTTGTTAAGATAAGCTAAAATGGTTCAGTTCATAACAAGTTGATTCAGTAACATAACAAATATCAACTTTTTTGATAGAAATATGAGCTAAATCCACATAAAATGTGCGCTAACTGACAAAAATTTCTGGACACAACAAATGATGTAAACTGAGAACAAATAAATAATGGTTCAACAATGGATATCCAAATCACTAGAACAAATTAATTTCAGTCACAAAACAAAGCTACTATGGTTACTATGTTTTTTTGAGAACAAAATGTTCTCAGTGTCAAAACTGTGGGGTCAACCCCCAGCAAGGTCCCACACAAGAGGGTCAGTGACCCTCAAACCAACTTCCTCATGACTTGTAGCCAAATGTAGAAGTCAACTCAGATCACTAAATCCATCCATAAAAACCAGTGACAATCCCAGCTCAGTAGACAGCTCAATTTGGCACTTCACTCATTACAAGGATCACACCACTCTCTGCCCAAGCCAGCTGATTGATCATCCCAAACTTGTTCCTATTATAGTGATTCAACCCAACTATATAATTCCAATATCTTAAGAAATATAATTATTTAGTTTCCAGTCTTTTTTCCCTGTGTAATTCTGCTAATACAGCACAGTTACAACACCAGTCACCAAAGTGAAAAACTTGATTTAACAACAAAACCCCATATAAATTAAGCCATAAAAAACATCAAAGTCAAAAAAATCAATGAATATATTATAATTATACCAGATAATTTTAATTAGTATATACAATCTAGAGCAGAAAATGAAAATTTAATATTCTAAGTGTCTATTTTTGAAAGAAAATGATCAAATAAATCAAATATATCAAGACATACTGCTAAAAGGTCACATTTACAATAGAAAATAAATTAGTATATAAATTTAAAGACTAATGTTTAATAGGTGGTAGTGACTACAAGATTTTATTTTACTATATATGGAAAATAAAATTAAATCAAATAAATTATCTAGTTAAACCTATTTAATTTTATTTCATTTTGAATTTTATTTTATATCAAAACGGACACATCATAACAACAGAGTCAAGGAGCTAAAGACTATGCCACAGATGTGAATGCCCTTGTGGGTCAAAAACAGAGTAGCTGTAGTCCAGAAAGTGAAACATGAGAGTAGCTATGAGTCAGGGAGTGAAAACCAAGCCAAATAGGCCCAGCAACAAACCCAGGGCACCCAGACTAGTAGAACAGTTAGTAAAAACTTCAGAGTTCCAAAGCTGTCCAGGAAGGCCATCAAAGTTTCTACCACTAGAAACTGTGAACAACACCACTACTGAGAGAGTGCCCTTGGTGTAAACCCTGTGTATCACCAAGATTTTATTACTGCCAGTCTTATAGAGAGTGTGAAGCCTGTTCTGGATATCACCTATGAGCCTTATGTGAGTGATGACAAATGGCAAGACAACAATAAAGATCCATATTATTATTGACTGTGAAGGAGCAGAAAGTGCCCAAAAAGGCTACAGTATTTTACAGTCAGGTGCCTATGCCCTGTGCCTTAGCAAAGCCCGCAGAGTCAATTCCTATCACAAAAACCCAATAAAAATTTGATCTCAGACTCTAAGTGTGATATCTTCATCAAGATTATCATGACACTAATGACTACATGATTTGATGAAAATTGACAGATAGTAAGAAGAGGTCTCCATATGTTGGGAAATAACCACCCAAATTCACATAGAGTTGATGATTAACCACCACCAAAGCTTCAAATACTGCTTGGTAAAATTTTCAAAAGAAACAATGAGGGTTAAAAAATGATTAAACCCAATCAAAGGAGGCCTAGATATGTGGCCTGAGAAAGAATTAAAGTGTCTTCAGCATAGAAATCTGGTCATTGAGAAGGTGTAACTGTCTCAGTTTGAGATTAAGCAGAAAAGAAACCAAGATTCTGAGGCATTGGAGTAAAGTTAGGGGGCACTGACAACAAAGTACCCAAGGCAGGGCACCATCTTACCATAATAATTTGACTTAAGAGCAAGTTATACAGGATGTAGAAGAGTTGACCAACTACTGGATGCATTGTTAAAATAAAGTTAGACCAAGAAAATATTTGGTTTATTGAGTAATTTTTGGAGGACTCAACTCCTAAGAGTTGAACAGTGAAAAATTTCCAATATGAACCAAATTTTGACTAAGCAATACCACCTGGATCCATGGCTCCTATCTGTCTACATCATCTAAAGAGTACCTTGTCCAGTACGTGAAAACTTCTTGAGTGATTAATTCCTGTCAGCTATTCTTATAAATGAGGTTGTATTAAGTGACTATCAGATTACATCAGTTTATCAGTGTCAACTTGCACAGGGTGATCAAATCAATCTGACAAACCGGGGTGGCAGTAACCCATTTCCAATCAACGGTATGATTTAAATCTGTCAACTTGGTCAACTTAGTTAACTGTTTCCCCATCTTCCAAGCTTTGAAATTAGGACAGGTAATACCA